TCTGTCTCTGTGACCTGTCTGTCTCTCTGACCTGTGTGCTGTCTGTCTGTCTCTCTGACCTGTGTGCTGTCTGTCTCTGACCTGTGTGCTGTCTGTCTGTCTCTCTGACCTGTGTGCTGTCTGTCTGTCTGTCTCTGACCTGTGTGCTGTCTGTCTGTCTCTGTGACCTGTCTGTCTCTCTGACCTGTGTACTGTCTGTCTGTCTGACCTGTGTGCTGTCTGTCTGTCTCTCTGACCTGTCTGTCTCTCTGACCTGTGTGCTGTCTGTCTCTGTGACCTGTGTGCTGTCTGTCTGTCTCTCTGACCTGTCTGTCTCTCTGACCTGTGTACTGTCTGTCTGTCTGACCTGTGTGCTGTCTGTCTGTCTCTCTGACCTGTCTGTCTCTGACCTGTGTGCTGTCTGTCTGTCTCTCTGACCTGTGTGCTGTCTGTCTGTCTCTCTGACCTGTCTGTCTCTGACCTGTGTGCTGTCTGTCTGTCTCTCTGACCTGTGTGCTGTCTGTCTGTCTCTCTGACCTGTCTGTCTCTGACCTGTGTGCTGTCTGTCTGTCTGACCTGTGTGCTGTCTGTCTGTCTCTCTGACCTGTCTGTCTCTGACCTGTGTGCTGTCTGTCTGTCTCTCTGACCTGTGTGCTGTCTGTCTGTCTCTGACCTGTGTGCTGTCTGTCTGTCTGTCTCTCTGACCTGTCTGTCTCTGACCTGTGTGCTGTCTGTCTGTCTCTCTGACCTGTGTGCTGTCTGTCTGTCTCTCTGACCTGTCTGTCTCTGACCTGTGTGCTGTCTGTCTGTCTCTCTGACCTGTGTGCTGTCTGTCTCTGTGACCTGTGTGCTGTCTGGCTGTCTCTCTGACCTGTCTGTCTGTCTGACCTGTGTGCTGTCTGTCTGTCTCTCTGACCTGTCTGTCTCTCTGACCTGTGTGCTGTCTGTCTGTCTCTGTGACCTGTCTGTCTCTCTGACCTGTGTGCTGTCTGTCTGTCTCTGTGACCTGTGTGCTGTCTGTCTGTCTCTCTGACCTGTCTGTCTCTCTGACCTGTGTGCTGTCTGTCTGTCTCTGTGACCTGTGTGCTGTCTGTCTCTCTGACCTGTCTGTCTCTGACCTGTGTGCTGTCTGTCTGTCTCTCTGACCTGTCTGTCTCTCTGACCTGTGTGCTGTCTGTCTGTCTCTGTGACCTGTGTGCTGTCTGTCTGTCTCTCTGACCTGTCTGTCTCTCTGACCTGTGTGCTGTCTGTCTGTCTCTGTGACCTGTGTGCTGTCTGTCTGTCTCTCTGACCTGTCTGTCTCTGACCTGTGTGCTGTCTGTCTGTCTCTCTGACCTGTGTGCTGTCTGTCTGTCTCTGTGACCTGTGTGCTGTCTGTCTGTCTCTCTGACCTGTCTGTCTCTGACCTGTGTGCTGTCTGTCTCTGACCTGTGTGCTGTCTGTCTCTGTGACCTGTGTGCTGTCTGTCTGTCTCTCTGACCTGTCTGTCTCTCTGACCTGTGTGCTGTCTGTCTGTCTCTGTGACCTGTGTGCTGTCTGTCTGTCTCTCTGACCTGTCTGTCTCTGACCTGTGTGCTGTCTGTCTGTCTCTCTCTGACCTGTGTGCTGTCTGTCTGTCTCTGTGACCTGTGTGCTGTCTGTCTGTCTCTCTGACCTGTCTGTCTCTGACCTGTGTGCTGTCTGTCTCTGACCTGTGTGCTGTCTGTCTCTGTGACCTGTGTGCTGTCTGTCTCTGTGACCTGTGTGCTGTCTGTCTGTCTCTCTGACCTGTCTGTCTCTGACCTGTGTGCTGTCTGTCTGTCTCTCTGACCTGTCTGTCTCTGTGACCTGTGTGCTGTCTGTCTGTCTCTCTGACCTGTCTGTCTCTCTGACCTGTGTGCTGTCTGTCTGTCAGTTTTCTGATGCAGAGTGTGCTAAGAAAGCTCTGGATCAGCTGAACGGCTTCGAGCTGGCGGGTCGACCGATGAAGGTGGGTCATGTGACGGAGCGGACCGACGCCTCCACAGCTTCCTCTTTCCTCGACAACGACGAGCTCGAACGCACCGGCATCGACCTCGGGACCACAGGCCGACTGCAGCTGATGGCCCGACTCGCAGAGGGTGAGACATCCAGTCATCTGTCACAACCACCTGTATCATCTACCTGCACCCCCCCCACACTGACTGTGTGTGTGTTTACAGGTACAGGTCTACAGATCCCTCCTGCTGCTCAGCAGGCTCTGCAGATGAGTGGAGCGATCGCTTTAGGAGCCATGGCTGCTGTTTCAGCTGCCATGAATCCAGCTCTCAACATGAACATGAACATGAACATGAATATGAACATGAACATGAACCCCATGAACTCCATGAACTCCATGAACTCCATGAACTCCATGAACCCCATGAACCCCATGAACTCCATGAACTCCATGAACCCCATGAACTCCATGAACTCCATGAACCCCATGAACTCCATGAACTCCATGAACTCCATGAACTCCATGAACTCCATGAACTCCATGAACTCTGGTGCTATGAATCTTCCCTCTCAGCCGCTCGCCACACACTGCTTCCAGCTGTCGAACATGTTCAACCCCCACAGGTACACACACACACACACACACCTGTCTCCTGTCTGTCAGTCTGTACACTTTACTGTGTTTGCACATGAATCTGCTGCTGCCATGCCAGAGCTGCAATTACATGAGCCAATAATCCAAAGAGCCAAAGAGATTTTTCAACAATTATGGATTTTGTCGACTTTAAAAATGGACCCGATGAGTGTTTGATTATCCTAACCCTGTTTTTCAAAGAAAGCAGTGAGTCATTTTGGCTGTTTGGGTTCGCTTCTGTCCGTCATTTCGACCTCTCGCCTGCCGCTTTGCATTGTGGGAAACAGTACGTGAGGGACACTGGTCTGATGCAGACTGTAGATTTTTCCAGAATCGATACCACATCCGGGTATTTTTGGCAAACTCAGGATCTCACATTTGTTCGCATACTGCATTTTGGGGCCAATCAGAGCGACCTACTAGTAAAGTTAGCGGTAAGGGGGAGCTGCTGGGGTCGGAACCTTCCTCAGTTAAAGACAACAAGTGGGCAGAGAGACTCACGGGCTGAGGGTCTGTACTTCAACGAGAGCTCAACTAGCGTACAGGTAGCTAGCAGGATTACAAACTCCACCTGGTGTAAAGAGCTGTTACTGAAAGAGCTGCAGAGAAACAGACTGTTGTGGACTCTGATGAACACGATGAAAATCATCACACAGGAAGACACTTTGAACCCACTTCCACTGTGGGAGACCCTCTGTCTTTGTCACAGATGCATCCGTCCTGGGTAATCAGAAAACAAGTGGTAAGCCTTGCTGCTCAGTGTGAATGCAGGACTTAGTGAGACCCGGTCTCTCAGACCACATACAGAGGTGGTCGGGGTGATGACTTCTGAGCCTGTGTGTCCTGGGCAGCTTTAAGGACCGCCCCCCTCAGCTGACATTATCTGTGGTAGTCTGCCAGTAACCAATCAGAGACCTGGTTGAATAAATCTGCACCCACACACCTTCAGCCTCGTCAAACAGAAGGACTATTGAGGCTCTTAAGAGGCGGGCGAGTGAGGAGGTCTGATCACAAGTCGCTGCTGGAGATGCAAAGTGTGAACGGCCGTAATGAAAGTGTGCTGTCCACTTTTTCATCCAATCACACGGTTACAAACGGGGAGAAAGTAGAAGTGACAGAGCGATTTGTGTGGATCAGCTACAGACTCAAGTTTACCTTAATGTGTTGACGGAACTGAAATGCATGCTGGGTAATGTGTGCGTGTGTGTGTTGATGTGCAGCTGTGTGTGTGTGTTTCAGTGAGGAGGCTCCTGGCTGGGACACGGACATCCAGCATGATGTCATCGAGGAGTGTAACAAACATGGAGGAGTCGTTCACATCTACGTCGACAGGAACTCTGCTGAGGTACATGTCACCCTCTGTTTCTGTGGCGTGCGTGCGTGCGTGCGTGCGTGTGTGCGCGTGTGCGCGTGCGCGTGTGCGCGCGTGCGTGCGTGCGTGTGTGTGCGCGTGACTTTTGAAGCATAATGACTTTGAACGCTGCTTGATTTCAGGGGAATGTTTACGTCAAGTGTCCGTCCATCCCGGCTGCAATGGCCGCCGTCAACTCTCTACACGGAAGATACTTTGCTGGTAAGAATACCTGTCACATGACACCTTCTATGTGCTGTGAACCAATCAGAGAGTAGCTCTGACATCTCACCTGTCTTTTCAGGTAAAATGATCACAGCGGCGTACGTTCCTCTGCCCACCTATCATAACCTGTTCCCAGAAGCCGCCACCTCTATCCAGCTGCTGGCCCCGCCCCCGAGACGATGACTCAACAACACTGCCCTCTGATTGGACACTGAGCCTCTTTTTTTAATCCTCCCCTCCAATTGGTCGACAGACTTGTCAGTTTCACTTTGGGCTCTCCGGTGTCAGAACAGCGTGGGATGATGTTTGTTTTTCCATTCTGTTTGCTTCCTAATGTTCGTTCTAAATACCATTTCTGGACGTGGCCTGTTTTCAGTATCGTCCAATGATTGAGCTCCGTGAGCTGTGATGAGGCCGGCCAATGATGGCGGTGGATTCAGCTGATTGGTTGGTATTACAATGTTTTCTAATCAAGAGTTTGATTTTGTAAAGTCGTTGATTAAATTTTATTTTGAAGTCACTCGGCTGCTGTGTCTTCTTCTGTGTGTGTGTGTGTGTGTGTGTGTGTGTGTGGTGTGTGTGTGTGTGTGTGTGTGTGTGTGTGTGTGTGTGTGTGTGTGTGTGTGTGTGTGTGTGTGTGTGTGTGTGTGTGTGTGTGTGTGTGTGTGTGTGTGTGTGTGTGTGTGTGTGTGTGTGTGTGTGTGTGTGTGTGTGTGTGTGTGTGTGTGTGTGTGTGTGTGTGTGTGTGTGTGTGTGTGTGTGTGTGTGTGGTGTGTGTGGTGTGTGTGTGGTGTGTGTGTGTGTGTAAAAAAAATCAGGCTGAGGTTTCATTTTTTTGGAATACATGTTTATAACTTCATTTAAACAGCAGAGCGCCAAGAAGGTTAAAAAAAAAACCACAATGTCTTCCATAACCTGATAGGAACAGACATATTTTAAATGTATTAACTGATGACTAAATTAATTGTTAAAATGTACGGAAGCCCATAGAGGACAAACATCCTTATATTTCTTGTATATCTCGACATATATGTTGCTATCGTGTAGAGTTTTAGTCAAGACCACACTGACCAGAGACAAAGACCAGGGCTAGACCATGAAATGTAGGGGTTGAAACCGAGACCATAAATATCACTGAAAAATCCTCATCTTGTGTGCAGGGGGCGTGTCACTTAGACGGTAACACCCAGTGGTGTAGTGCAGCATTCTCGCTTCTAAATCTCCTCTGATTCACAGCATGGATTCAGTAGTTTACTGTACCTCTTCTTCGTCTTGACTGACCAAGACCAATTTTGAGCCCTACAAAACTGCTATCTTGAATAAAAACAGATATTTTAAGTTGATGTGATAAGTTATTTTCTCGAGGTCTTAAAGTAACGCAGGAACCCGGCCTTACTGTCCTGAGACAAAAAAGTTGAGAACGTGAGAAATAAATAAAATCACAGGTAAGAAGTCTGGATGTGTGTCCACTTTGGGCCACCGTTAAAGAGACAAACAGCAGGAGGAGAAAATGTAACACAGTTTAGAGTGAAAAAACAGTTTCTCATCAGTCACCTGGCGGGTTAACACACAAGCTCCTTAAAGGTCGACCTCGTTCAGCTGGATGACGGTGATGGTGATGTCATCACGGTACCTCCTGGCCAGATCTGTGGGCAGACTCAGCATCTTGGCCAGACGGTTTGGAGCCACCGATCCGTACCCGTCATCCCCCAGGGCGTGGCGGAGCAGGTGGGTGGTGGCGTTCTGGTCCTCCAGTACAGACAGAACCCGCCCCTTCCTCTCCAACAGGAGGCGCTGCAGGCCGCCCAGTGTTGTTCCAGCGCCGGGAATTATGGGTGCTTGCTGTTGAAGACCTGATCGTCAAACAAAAAAAAAACGTTCTTAGTTATCAGACTGAGACCTGGTCCTGATCCTAACTAACAGGTCTTCAGACTGGTACCTGGTCCTGATCCTAGCTAACAGGTCATCAGACTGAGACCTGGTACTGATCCTAGCTAACAGGTCATCAGACTGAGACCTGGTACTGATCCTAGCTAACAGGTCATCAGACTGAGACCTGGTACTGATCCTAGCTAACAGGTCATCAGACTGAGACCTGGTACTAATCCTAACTAACAGGTCATCAGACTGAGACCTGGTCCTGATCCTAACTAACAGGTCATCAGACTGAGACCTGGTCCTGATCCTAACTAACAGGTCTTCAGACTGAGACCTGGTCCTGATCCTAACTAACAGGTCTTCAGACTGGTACCTGGTCCTGATCCTAGCTAATAGGTCATCAGACTGAGACCTGGTCCTGATCCTAACTAACAGGTCTTCAGACTGAGACCTGGTCCTGATCCTAACTAACAGGTCTTCAGACTGGTACCTGGTCCTGATCCTAGCTAATAGGTCATCAGACTGAGACCTGGTCCTGATCCTAGCTAACAGGTCATCAGACCGAGACCTGGTCCTGATCCTAGCTAACAGGTCTTCAGACTGAGACCTGGTACTGATCCTAGCTAACAGGTTATCAGACTGAGACCTGGTACTGATCCTAGCTAACAGGTCATCAGACTGAGACCTGGTACTGATCCTAGCTAACAGGTCATCAGACCGAGACCTGGTACTGATCATAACTAACAGGTCTTCAGACTGGGACCTGGTACTGATCCTAGCTAACAGGTCATCAGACTGGGACCTGGTACTGATCCTAGCTAACAGGTCATCAGACCGAGACCTGGTACTGATCATAGCTAACAGGTCTTCAGACTGGGACCTGGTACTGATCCTAACAGGTCATCAAACTGAGACCTGGTACTGATCCTAACAGGTCATCAGACTGAGACCTGGTACTGATCCTAGCTAACAGGTCATCAGACCGGGACCTGGTACTGATCCTAACAGGTCATCAGACTGAGACCTGGTACTGATCCTAACAGGTCGTCAGACTGAGACCTGGTCCTGATCCTAGCTAACAGGTCTTCAGACTGAGACCTGGTCCTGATCCTAGCTAACAGGTCATCACACTGAGACCTGGTCCTGATCCTAGCTAACAGGTCGTCAGACTGAGACCTGGTCCTGATCCTAGCTAACAGGTCTTCAGACTGAGACCTGGTCCTGATCCTAGCTAACAGGTCATCAGACTGAGACCTGGTACTGATCCTAACAGGTCATCAAACTGGGACCTGGTACTGATCCTAGCTAACAGGTCATCAGACCGAGACCTGGTCCTGATCCTAGCTAACAGGTCATCAGACTGAGACCTGGTCCTGATCCTAGCTAACAGGTCATCAGACTGAGACCTGGTCCTGATCCTAGCTAACAGGTCATCAGACCGAGACCTGGTCCTGATCCTAGCTAACAGGTCATGAGATTGAGACCTGGTACTGATCCTAACAGGTCATCAGACTGAGACCTGGTCCTTATCCTAGCTAACAGGTCATGAGATTGAGACCTGGTACTGATCCTAACAGGTCATCAGACCGGGACCTGGTACTGATCTCTAACCTTTGACCTCTGACCTGTCAGCTGTTCTCCCACCAGCTCCACCACGGTCTGTCGGTGCATCAGCTCCCAGAGTCCGTCAGTCGCCAGGACCAGAAACTTGTCGGAGGGTCTGATTCTGTGTCGGGTGACCTCAGGTTGGGCGCTCAGGTAGGGCGGGGTCAGGTAATGCAGGGTGGAAGTCCGGACCGCCTCACTGACCACCGACATCAAGTCCGGTCGGGTTTCATAAACCCGGTTCAACGTCTCTGCGCTCCATTTGAAGCGGACGTCACCGAATGCCCTGAACGGCAGCAGCAGACCCAGCAGGCGGTCGTGACGGACCACCGTCCTCCACTCCGATGGCGGATGTTCTCCCAGAATCCTTTGCAGCTCATCCGGGTTCTGTGCATTATGGTCATTGCTGAGGCTGACCGCCGACCAGCTCCCGTCTGACTCCTGGACGCCGAGGACGGCCCGGCTGTCTCCCAGGTTGGCCACGTGCAGGACGCCATTGGAGATGTGGGTGACACAGGCCGTGCAGCCTGACAGCGCCACGCGGAGCGGTGAGGACACAGACAGTCCCTCCCCGGGAAGAGACAAACGCCTGCTGATGAGGAAAGACAAATAACCACATGACTCACCTTTGAACTCTTGAGATCTTTCTGAGTTACACATGATCTTTAACTTTGAACAGAATGAGGACCTGGGTGAGGACATGGACAGGTGGACTTGGGCCTCCACAGAAATGTCGTAGTCAAGACGACGAAAAGCGTTGACCAGCGCCGACGTCACCCTCCCACAATCCTGCAGCCAATCAGAGCAGAGGAGATTTTAACTACTTTTATTTCATAATTACCATTTTAAAAAGTGAAGATTGAAGATTTCTTCAAACTTTGAAACATGAAACTAAAATCTAGACGCTGAAATGTTTGAAACCTCCAAACGAAACCAACATGCATGTGCAGTTCCTCAAACGGCCACTAGAGGCGGACTTCAAAAGTGAGTCGATCCCCATAGATCCCCATGTTAAAATCCCTAACCGTATAAACAATGGTTGTGACGTCACACACTGGATACTCGACTGCGTAATTGAAGCCTCAAGATCACCATCTGGTCACCGCCATGTTGGATTTCTGGAGACAGAAGTGACTTGGTAGGGCTGTAAACGACTTGTTTTACCACTTTAGTCTAGTCTGCAAGTCCCCGTCGGACCACATGGTTCCTCATAACCATTTCCTGTTTTTCTACCACATGTCTGAACCTGTTTACCTCCTCCGGCTCCGCCTCCTCCTCTTCCTCTTCATCCTCGTCCTCCAGACGCTCCTGCCAGTAGTGTCGGAGGCTGTGGAAGAAGCTCGCTCCTCCGTCGGGATGATCCTGGGGGTATTTGTGCCACTCCAGCAGCGGCGGTACGGCCCGTTCCTCTTCCACGGCCTGTTCGAGCTCGGCCAGTGTCCTCAGTGGCAGCGTTGCCACGGCGATGTAATAGAGGAGTCTCTGACTGACAGCGTGAGCGCACGCTGGACCAGCGTGACCGTCAAACACGCCAAAGAGCACACCGCCGCGGCCTGGAAGGCAGGTGGCGCTGCTCCGACGGTCCTCGCCAGGGTGGTTGGATGGCAACATGTTACTATGGAAACCAAGAACCCCATGGGATGCGGGGCCTCGGGGGAGGGTGTGGCTATACTCGTTGGCCTGGCAACAGAAGACAGTCAGTCAGATCAGATCTTTGAGCTTTTTTTTTTTTTACCTTTAAAAAGAATCTCACCTTTAGGATGCGGCTGATCTGAGCTGGACTCATTGGTCCCACCTCCTGCTCTGCCCTGTACTTCCTGCTCCCACTGCCTGCTGGGTAATGGAGTCTGGGGAGCTCAGGGGGCGGCGCAGAGGAGGAGAGATAGCAGCACTGATGAAGCTCAAACCTGCAACGACCAGTGAGGGCTCCTGTCCGTCCCAGCATGGCTGCTCACCTGGAGAACCAGCAGGAGAACCAGCAGTAGAACCAGCAGGAGAACCAGCAGTAGAACCAGCAGGAGAACCAGCAGTAGAACCAGCAGGAGAACCACCAGGAGAACCAGCAGGAGAACCAGCAGAAGAACCAGAAAAACCAGCAGGAGAACCAGCAGGAGAACCAGCAGGAGAACCAGCAGGAGAACCAGCAGGAGAACCAGCAGGAGAACCAGCAGGAGAACCACCAGGAGAACCAGCAGGAGAACCAGCAGAAGAACCAGAAAAACCAGCAGGAGAACCAGCAGGAGAACCAGCAGGAGAACCAGCAGGAGAACCAGCAGGAACGGTCTCACCTCCGAGCGGTCTCACCTGTGCACTTTGCTCAGTCGTCACATGGAAACGTTTTTGTCCTGAAACAGAGAACAGCTGATTCATGTTTCCCTCCACGTTTAGGCTTTGAGTAAGTCATTAACAAGTTAATGAAGTGAAAAACTCACCGAGTGTTTGTTGAGGTGTTTTCTTTCCCTCGTTACCTGTTTGATTAAATCCTCAGGCAGGTAAAAAGTGGGCAAACTTCCCTTCCCCTCGACAGATCGTCTCTTTCCACAGAGGTCATGACCTCTTCATGTCAGGTGTGCAGTTGAAGGTTGTTTATGCTTTTCCGTCAGTCTGTGACCTTTGACCGCTTCATAACTCAGTCAGTAATCAGTAATCCATAAACCTGGAGCGGCTCCCTGTGAAGCCCCGCCCCCCTTCTCTGTGACTGAACTCAGTCAAGCTGTGAAACTCTGAGAGGAAGAAAGAAGCTGTTTGAGGAGGTTTTAAGTCCACCCCCCACACGGCCGTTTTGGACGCCCCTTGGTTTGCCAGATATGAGAGCAGTTATCAGGGCATGATCATCGCGCTCCTCCTCTCTAGTCCGTTTCAGACCGCCGTTTCAAACCGTGTTATTAACACCCTGAGACGTGTCGCCTTCAGTCTAAATGTCCGGGAGCAGCAGGGGAGAACAGCTGTGTGTGTGCGCATGTCTGAATGTGTGTGTAAGTGAATCTCCTGGTGTGTTGTGCTTCTGCAACTCTGAACGACTGGGACGCCAATATTACGCCGTCAAAGACGTGATGACAGCTGAGCTTAGCAATCTGAAAATGGCGGCTGTCTGTCCCTCTTCACACTGCTCCTCCTCTGATGTGATGGAAACCCAAAACCGCCAGAATAACTAAATACACATCTGTGTGTACTTATCTGTGTTTTATGTCATTTCTCATGAACACGTTTTGCAGCTGAATGTTAATAAAAGTGCCTGTGTGACATTTGGTCCATGTGGGTTTGACTTATAACTGACTTTGTGTTTGTTATTTCTTTACAGAAGAAGTATCGAGATATACATCGTGCATCGCCATTTAGAAACAACATTTTAAGATATGAGTTGTGTCAGTGTCAGCGACATCTTTGGGTACTCGCTCATATCTCTCCAAGGACAGCAGACATTTTTATAATTGTTGTTTTTGTAATTGTT